GGGCAAGGGGGCCCGGGGGGGACACGGGGGCCCCAGGGGTGGCACCGGGGGGGGGTTCCAAGGGTGACACAGGGGTGCAAAGTGGCCTTGGGGTGACACAAGGTGGCCCAAGGGTGACACAAGGGACCTAGGGGTGGCACCAGGGGTGGCACGGGGTCAGCATGGGGGGCACGGGGGTGGCACCAGGGGTGGCAGCAGGAGGGGTCCCAAGGGTGCCACGGGGGTGCGAGGTGACCCAGGGGTGACACGGGGGTCCCGGGGTGGCTGCGGAGCCCGGTGCCACGGGGGTGCGAGCGGGTGTCCCCGTGTCCCCGGGCACCTGGAGGCTGGTGACGGTGAGGCGCCGGGCGTCGTCGGAGTGGGAGGCCACGGGCACCACGAAGGGGCTGTCGGGGATGTGCTCCTCGTTGAACTTGATGGAGACCTCGTAGTCACCTGGGGACAGACGGCGGCCTCGCACGGGGACACCGCGCACGGGGACACCGCGCACGGGGGGGACCCTCACCCGGGGACAGCCTCGCACGGGGACATGCTCGCGTGGGGACGACCCTTGCACGGGGACACCCTCGCACAGGAACACCCTTGCACAGGGACACCCTCACACTGGGAGGACCCTTGCATGGGGAGGACCCTCACACGAGGACACCCTTGCACGGGGAGGACCCTCGCGTGGGGACACCCTTGCACGGGGAGGACCCTCGCGTGGGGACACCCTTGCACGGGGACACCCTTGCACGAGGTCACTCTTGCACAGGGACACTCTTGCATAGAGAGGATCCTTGCATGGGGAAACCCTTGCACAGGGAGGACCCTCGCGTGGGGACACTCTTGCACGGGAGGTCCCTTGCACGAAGACACCCTTGCACGGGGACACCCTTGCACGGGGACACCCTCGCACAGGGACACCCTCACACTGGGAGGACCCTTACATGGGGAGGACCCTCACATGGGGAGGACCCTCGCACAGGAACACCCTTGCACGGGGAAACCCTTGCACGGGGAGGACCCTCGCGTGGGGACACCCTTGCACAGGGACACCCTCGCACGAGGACACCCTTGCATGGGGTCACTCTTGCACAGGGGCACCCTCGCCTGGGGACACCCTCACATGAGGACACCCTTGCACGGGGACACCCTTGCACAAGGGCACCCTCACACGGGGACACCCTCGCCTGGGGACACCCTTGCACAGGGACACCCTCACACGAGGACACTCTTGCACAGGGGCACCCTCGCATGGGGACACCCTTGCACGGGGACACCCTTGCACAGGGACACCCTCGCACGAGGACACCCTTGCATGGGGTCACTCTTGCACAGGGGCACCCTCGCCTGGGGACACCCTCACATGAGGACACCCTTGCACGGGGACACCCTTGCACAAGGGCACCCTCACACGGGGACACCCTCGCCTGGGGACACCCTTGCACAGGGACACCCTCACACGAGGACACTCTTGCACAGGGGCACCCTCGCATGGGGACACCCTCGCCTGGGGACACCCTTGCACAGGGGCACCCTCGCCTGGGGACACCCTCACATGAGGACACCCTTGCACGGGGACACCCTTGCACAAGGGCACCCTCACACGGGGACACCCTCGCCTGGGGACACCCTTGCACAGGGACACCCTCACACGAGGACACTCTTGCACAGGGGCACCCTCGCCTGGGGACACCCTCACATGAGGACACCCTTGCACGGGGACACCCTTGCAC